GCCTTATGATCATGAAGCGTACAATTCCATAGGTTTTTCGAGGTTCCATCTATGATGATGAGAATGCAAGTAAGCTCATGAAAGCAGTAGCGGCTCGTTTTGAAAGAAATGAAAAGCAGGAAACAAGCTCGCTTTTGATGAAACTTATTTCCAAAAGGTATAAGGGAAATAGGAACATTCGGGAATACATCATGGAGATGTCAGATCTTGCTTCACAGCTCAAGGCACTCAAGATAGATTTGTCTGATGACTTACTAGTGCACTTGATATTGTTGTCTCTTCCTGTACAGTATGGATCCTTTAGGATCATATACAACTGTCAACAAGCCAAATGGTCTCTTAACGAGCTCATTTCACATTGTGTGCAAGAAGAAGAGCGATTGAAGCTTGAAAAACCTGAAAGTGCTCACCTTGCGGTCTCTAGAAAGGACAAAAATAAGAAACGTCCTCAGAAAAAGGAAAGTGATGATGGTCCTGTCAAGAAGATGCAAAAAAAGCAGGATAAGAGTGGTGCGTGCTTCTTTTGTAAGAAGATGGGACACGTGAAGATGGATTGCACTGGCTATCATGGCTGGCTTGAAAAGAAAGGTAAACTTCTTACTTTGGTTTGTTCTGAAGTTAATTTAACTTCTGTACTACGATACACTTGGTGGATAGATTCTGGTGCTACTACTCACATAAGTGTATCAATGCAGGGTTGCCTAAGCCATCGGAAACCAAGTGATGCTGAAAGATTCATCTATGTTGGTGACGAGAATAAAGTTGAAGTGGAGGCTATCTGCATTTTTAGATTATTATTGAGTTCTGGTTTTTATTTGGATTTGGATGAGACATTTGTTGTACCGTCATTTAGACGGAATTTGGTTTTTATTTCTACATTGGACAAATTCGGTTATTCTTGTTCCTTTGGAAATGGTTTATTTCGTCTTTTTCGTGATTCAAATTTACTTGGTACTGGTACTCTCTCTAGTAATGATAATCTATATGTGCTTGATACAATCACTTCATATTATGAAACCTTGCATGTTAAAACCCATGGTACAAAGAGAAAATTAGATGACAAGATTTCTACAAATTTATGGCATAAATGATTAGGTCACATATCCAAACAAAGGATAGAACGCTTAGTTGCAGATGAAATTCTTGACATACCCGACTTAACACATTTTCAAGTTTGTGTTGAATGCATTAAGGGGAAACAAACAAACCAAAGACGGTTAGGTGCAAACCGAAGCAGTGATGTCTTAGAACTAATACATACGGATATTTGTGGACCATTTCCTACGGCATCATGGAATGGTCAACAATATTTCATTTTGTTCATAGACGATTACTCAAGATACGGATACTTGTACCTAATTCATGAGAAGTCCCAAGCCTTGGACATGTTTAAATCCTATAAAGCTGAAGTTGAGAATCAACTGCGAAAAAAGATTAAAGCAGTAAGATCCGATCGCGGTGGCGAATACTATGGTCGCTATGATGGATCTGGTGAACAACGCCGAGGTCCTTTTGCAAGATTCCTTGATGAATGTGGAATAGTACCTCAGTATACCATGCCTGGAACTCCAAGTATGAACGGTGTATCTGAACGTAGGAACATGACTCTTAAAGATATGGTAAGGAGTATGATGAGTCACTCGACATTACCAGAGTCATTATGGGGAGAAGCGATTAAAACCGATGCATATATCCTCAACAGAGTTCCTACAAAAGCAACTAAAAAAACCCCTTATGAGCTTTGGACGGGTAAGAAACCAATTCTAAAGCATTTACATGTATGAGGTTGCCCAGCGGAAGTAAGGCCTTACAAGCCATTAGAAAAGAAACTAGACCCGCGTACAATAAGTTGTTATTTCGTTGGGTATTCAGAAAAATCCAGGGGGTGCAAGTTTTATGATCACAAAAACAGATCGATATTCGAAACTGGAACAACCCATTTCTTTGAGGATATTGAGTTTGGGAGTAGAGATAAGGTACGAGAAGTTGCATTTGAGGAAGAATTTGTTCATCTTCCCATAATAATTGGTCATGATATAACACATCTAGATCAATCGGACAACATGCACACATCTAGATCAATCGGACAACATGCAACTCCCCGCACTGACTCAAGAGGTTATTCCGGATGAACCAATTCAAGAGGTTATTCCGGATGAACCAATTCAAGAGGTTATTCCGGATGAACAACCTCAACAACCTCAAGAACAGTTTCCATCAAGAAGATCAACTAGAGCAAGGAGAAGTGCGATACCAGACGATTATGTCGTATATCTCCAAGAGCATGGGGAAAATGTTGGATTACTAGAAAATGATCCAATAAGTTTTCGTCAGGCTATGCAAAGTACAAACTCTCAAAATTGGCTTGAAGTCATGAATGAAGAGTATAAATCCATGCAAGACAACAATGTCTGGGAACTTGTTCCATTACCTGAAGGAATCAAACCCGTAGGTTGCAAATGTATATTTAAAACCAAACGGGATTCTAAAGGAAATGTGGATAAGTATAAAGCTCGTCTTGTAGCAAAAGGATTTACACAGAAAGAATGAGTTGAATATAAAGAGACTTTCCCTCCGGTATCTTCGAAAGACTCGTTCAGAACAATAATGACACTTATAGCTCATTATGATTTAGAGTTACATCAGATGGATGTTGAATGTAATTTTATTGTTTTATGTATAGAGTTATGAATCCAACGTAAAATGACATACCTAAAATGGAATGGTGGCATATTTGATGGGGACTCGTACAATTTATCAACGTATGGATAATGTCAAAGCGATTCCCTCGCGTCTTCCATTCTATGTGACACGTCCGAACGAGATCACACACGTTTATGGTCACTCTATTGAATATTTAAAGCGGGACAAGAAACATATAAGAACATGCCATTATTTATTAGGGAACCGTTACAAAAAGGTGGTAAGAAGACATGGAAACAAAAGGGGAAACTAAGATAAAAGTCGAGACATACCCCTTTGGTCGTTATTCATTATTATTACATTAGACGAGGACTATATGAGACACACATATATATATATATGACATGGGCATCTACTTCATCAAACATACATTTTTTATTCTTCGAATATATATTAAGCATAGTTCGTTTTCATTTGAATGGAAGCCCGTGGTTCGTCGCTGCAATAATCACAGTAGCAAACCGGTCTGCCGTCCTTTCCCCGCTCGCATTGTCCGCCCAACGATTTCTTGTATTCACGACAATTTAGGTAACAAAGGCTCGGAAAAATCAGAACAAGGCAGAACGAAATCGGTGCGTCTTCGTACACTTTCAAGCATTCCTCGTCCAGCTGAGCTTCTATCTCCGGCACTTCTGCATGCATTGTTTTCACATATTATTGGCACGAAACTTTACTACGATCTCGCATGGTTCCATGCATGCAAAATCTTTTTTTTTTTTTGGGTTATTTACGTACTTACCGATCACCGTGAGGAAGAGAAGAAAGTACACAAGGAAGACGGAAGCAAACTCGGCCATCTGTCTCTCTTCACTTTCGGCTTGTGAAGTGAACATGTGCTATGCCAGTAGTATTTATACTAAAAATCCCCTCCCCCCCCCCAAAAAAAAAACTCTAAGTTGACTATCGCATTCATATTTCGTTTTTCATTTCCAAAGCCATTTATTAAAAATCACGTGGTTTTCAACAGAGCTTTCAATCCAGCCTCTATCTTAAAAATCGAGCTTCTCTGTCCGTACGTTGAATTATATACACGTGTGTCTGCGTATTCACGAATTCTTGCCCATTTTGTGCTTGGTATCACTCTATTCCACGCGAAAAAAACGCATTCTTTTCAAGATTTGGGGAAATGGGTTGTCCGGAGAAACCAAGATTCAGGAAAGAGTAAAGAGAAATGGGGTGATGAATTGAAAGCAGAGACAGTGGAGAGAGAGAGTCTCAACGTTGAGTGGCAGTGAGAGCATTCAACGAGGCCCAAAATGCAGCTTCTCAGTATTGGCAAATGTAGTTGTAGAAGTAGAAAAAGAAATAAGGCAGGGGTAATATCCGTAATCTCGTTCAAGAATCTCATCAAATCTGCAAAATTATCACAAACATAATTAGTGATTGGTTTTTTACTGATTTCCTTTCCTTGTTTCGTAGTAAAGCAATCGTTGCATGCGTTACATCTGCAAGTAACACCCTGTGTATATATATTTCCATGTCCAGATTTTGTACAAACCCTAAAACGAATAAACAAAGGAGCAATGTTCCCATTCACAACAAAACTCTCGGTCCTTTTTCTTCACCGTGTCTAGCCAGTTTGATTCCCTTTGTCCCGTTCTCAATCTCAAAACACGCACAGATACATAAAAATCCACAATTCCAGTGTTTCAATCTATCGCCTTAATAATATCTTCATAGGCAAAACGTATGATTTTTTTTTGTGTGGACCATAATAGGGCATTAACCCGAATTCAAGATTATATATTTATTACAAAAATTACCCAAAACAACCATTTAATGCATAAGAGGTTTGGTGGGTGAACGTGGGCTATACTCGATCGGGGCCTTTTTATATGAATATAATTTCATTAGCTGTTTTACATTTAAAATTCATGGACATATTATCCCAAAAAAAAAAAACATTTACTCTAAGTTAACTGTCACATTCATTCTTGTAAAACTATTTCTTTATTTATTCACGATCCATTATTAATTTTTGACAAAAAATTATTTAACTTTTTTTCAAATTTTCGATTTAAGGGCCAGGTTGAAGATATGATATACGTGCCCACGTTGAGAACCATTTTGATATGATTTAGATTGGATTTCCTTTGACCCACCTAATCGTTTTCCCAAAATAATTAACAAATATCGTTTGATTTTTCTTGTAGTGGATACAGATATTCATAGATATCCAGTGCTGTATTTTGCAAATATTAAAAAAAAAAATAGAGAGATCGGATTGAATTTCTTTTTGGAAATTTTCTATATATTTTCTGCAGGAACTCTCTCTGGTGAATTTTTAAGGCGGGACACGAAGAAACATATAAGAGATGCCATTATTATTCATTAGGGAAACATTACAGAAAGGTGGTAAAATAACATGGAAACAAAAAAGGGAGAACCAAGGTTAGAGTGGAGACAGACCCCTTCCTTTGTTCGTTATTTATTATTACATTAGGCACACATACGTACGTGACATGGGCATCCTCTTCATCAAACATGCTAATATATATATATTAAGCATCGCTGGATTTCATTTGAATGGAAAGTGGTTTGTCGCTGCAATAGTCGCAGTAGCAAGTAGGTTTACCGAATTTTCCCAGCTTGCAGTGTCCGCCCAAAGCTTCCTTGTCTTCACGGCATCTATGGTAACAAAGGGTCGGGAAAATCAGAGCAATGCAAAACGCAAGCGGCGCATCCTCGTACACTTTCAAGCACTCCTCGTCCAGCTGACGAGCTTCCATCTTCGGCACTTCTGCATGCATTGGTTTTCACACATTTAGCATTGAAACTTTACTACGATCTTGCATATTGGTTCCATGCATGCATGCAAACTAGTTTTTTATTTTATTTTTACGTACTTACCGATCACCGTGAGGACCAGAAGAAAGAACACAAGGAAGACGGAAGCAGACTTTGCCATTTCTCTTCCTCTCTATATATCTCTATCTCTCTCTTTTCACTTTCGGCTTGTGAAGTGAACATGTGTTATGCTAGTAGTATTTATACTAAAAATCCCCCCTCCCCAAAAAAAAAATGTTAAGTTAACTGTCACTTTCGTTTTCCGTTTTTTTATTTTCACAAACAATTATTAATTTTTTACAAAAAAATACTATTGAACTTTTTTTTTCAATTTTTCAATCGTACCTGAATCCAATCAAAATGTCGGCAATCATTGGTTTCGTTGAACTTGTCATGTCATCAATAGATAGGAATCGATGATTTATATGTTTACGTGACACAATGATTCATATGTATACGTAAGACAATTTCAATGAAGTCATATCAAAATTGATCGTTAACATTTTAACTGAATTTTTGGACGATTAGAAAATATAAGAATTTAAATTAATTTTTTTTTGTCAAAAATTAATAATTGGTTATAAAATTCAAAACTAAATAATTTGGTATAAATCGTAGTTAACTCATAGAGTCCGATGATTTACATTAAATGGTAAAAAATTAATTGATGATTTATACTTATTATTTTATACATAGAGTCCGAATTCAATGTAAAATGACAAAGCTAAAAACAAAATGAAATGGTCAAAGTTTATAGGGAGTCGTGCGTTTATCGACGATATGTGACACGTCCGAACGAGATCACGTGGTTTTCAACAGAGCTTTCAATCCTGTCCCTGTCTTGTATTAAAAAAATCGAGCTTCTTCGTCGGTTGAATGCAAATCGTATCATATACACGTGTGTGTGCGTATTCACTAATTCTTTCCCATTTCGTGCTTGTCATTGCTCTATTCCACACCGAACAAATGCATTCTTTAACCCAAGTTTGGGTGTCTAGGGGTAATAGTAAACATGTTATTATCTTAGCTTCAAATCCAAATGTGGGGAGGGATATTCAATCGTAGTTATCTGAACGGGAGAAACCAAAGGGAGATGGAGTGATGAATTGAAAGCAGAGGCTGGAGAGAGAGAGAGAGAGAGAGAGAGAGAGAGAGAGAGATTGTCTGGATGTTGAGTGGCAGTGAGAGCATTCAACGAGGCCGAAACTGCAGCTTATCAGTAATGGCAAATGTAGTTTGAAGAGGCAGAAAAAGAAATGAAAGGCAAGTATGGATCAAATTATCAGCAATCTCGTTCAGGAATCTCACCAAATCTGCAAAATTATCACAAACATAATTTAATGCATCAAAAAAAATATTGACGATCAACGATGACGTGATTTATGGGCCAGGTTGAAGATATGATATACGTGCCCACGTTGGGAACCATTTTGATATGATTTAGATTCGATTTCCTTTGACCCACCTAATCATTTTTCCCAAAATAATTAACAAATATTGTTTGATTTTTCTTGAAGTCGATACAGATATTCATAGATATCAGTATTGTGTTTTGAAAATATTAAAGAAAATGATAGAGAGATTGGATTGATTCTTGTGGAAATTTTCTCTATATTTTACTTTCTCAAATTCAAAAAATATGAACTTATATATATATACATACACACCCATATATACACTTTACTCTCTATTCGCTGTGAAACGTCCGAAGGAGATCACATACGGTTTATGGTCACTGGTGAATTTTTAAAGCGGAACACGAAGAAACATAAACGTTACAGAAAGGTGGTAAAAAAAACATGGAAACATAAACGTTACAGAGAGAGGGGAAACCAAGATAAGGGTGGTTGGTTCAACTGGTAAGTGGGTATACGCAAAGATTGCTTCACCCAGATTCGAACCCACCTTTGGCAAATTACATGTTATCAAAAAAAAAAAAAAAAAGAGAGGGGAAACCAAGATTAGAGTAGAGACATGCATGTCCCTTTAGTAATCTACGAATCCATTTATCCACGACATGTGACAGGTCCGAACGAGATCACGTGGTTTTCAACAGAGCTTTCAATCCTCTCCCTGTCTTGTATTAAAAAAATCGAGCTTCTTCGTCGGTTGAATGCAAATCATATCACTCTTATATATCCCACACGAAAAAATGCGTTCTTTTCAAGATTTGTGGAAATGGGTTTTCCGGAGAAACCGAGATTCAGGAAAGAGCAAAGAGAAATGGGTTGATGAATTGAAAGCAGAGACAATGAGGGAGAGAGAGAGAGAGAGAGATTGTCTGAATGTTGAGTGGCAGTGAGAGCATTGAACGAGGCCGAAACTGCAGATTCTCGTTCAAGAATCTCATCAAATCTGCAAAATCATCACAAACATAATTTAATGCATCGAATCTGGAAAATATATGATTTTATACGAATATATATAATTTTATTAGCTGTTTTAAATTTAAAATTCATGGACATATTATTGCAGTATTAGTTAACCCTCCAACACGATCTCATCATACGGATAACATCAAACAAAATCCTCAACCAAATCAGATCTTTATCTTGGAAACATTGTGAGCTCCCTTTCTCTTCACTGTGACTTGTGAGTTCCTGTGCTATGCCTCGTAGTATTTATACCAAAAATCCCAAAAAAACATTTTTCTAAGTTAACTGTCACATTCATTCATGTAAGACTATTTCCTTTCTCATTTTCATGATCAATTATTAATTTTTGACAAAAGAATTATTTAACTTTAATTTTTCTTTTCCAAATTTTCGATCATTCGTGAATTCAATCAATAATATCGTCGATCAACGATGACGTGATTTATGGGCCAGGTTGAATATATGATATAAATGAATCGTAGGACGGATCCACGTTGGAAACCATTTTGATATGATTTAGATTCAATTTCCTTTGACCCACCTAACGTTTTTCCCAAAATAAGTAACAAATATTGTTGATTTTTCTATTAGATCGGATACAGATATTCATCGATATCTTCATCCAAAAAAACGATATTCACAGATATCAGTATGCATTTTGCAAATATTTTTTAAAAAAAAGATAGAGAGATTGGATTGATTTTTTTTTGGAAATTTTCTCTATATTTTACTCTCTCAAATTCAAAAAACATGAAATTATATATACGCGCATCCATGTATATTTTCCTCTCCGATCACACTTAGTTCTTATAATATACTCTAATGCTGTACATTATTAAATAGATAAATGGACTGAATGTAATATTATTATTCTGTATATATATAGAGTCCGAATCCAACGTAAAATGACAAACCTAAAATGAAATGGTCAAAGTTGACAGGGGACTCGTACATTTATCAACGTACGGACAAAGTCAAAACGATTCCCTCGCCCTCGCGTATCTAGGGCTGGCCATTTAAACCCGTTACATGCGGGTAAACGAATACCCGATCTCGTGGATATCCGAAAAACGGGTATTTGACACCTAACGAAGACGAAAACGAGTATTAACAACTAGAATATCTATCGTACGGATTCAGGTTCAGGTTTTACATATTGAAATAACGGGTAACCGCGGGTACCCGTATATATATTAAAATTACAAAATTAACCTTATATTTTTAGTATAATTTCGAAAATACTTAAGTTATTTTTACTTACCTTTAAGATTATATATTAGATTTTCAAGTTTTGATGGATTCAACTTCAAATCATTGTGTATTTTTGAAAATGTTTCTAGGATTCTATACATATTATTATATTTTAAGAATTTTCAACCTTAAAAATATATTTTTGGAATAAAATATGTATATTTTTATTGAATATTTGATTTAATTTGATATTGTTTAATATTTTATATACAGGTACGGGTACTCGCGGGTATCCATCTTTTAATTATGGGTACCCGTTGGACGAGTATCCGGATGTTGTGAGATAAACCCGCGAAGACGAAAACGAAGACGGATATCTCCAAAAACACGGGTACCCGACGCGTGTCCAACCCTACTTCAATTCCACGTGACACGTCCGAACGAGATCACATACGTTTATGAAATTTTAAAGCGGAACACGAAGAAACATATAAGAGATGCCATTATTTGTTAGGGGAACATTACAAAAGGTGGTAAAATAACATGGTAACAAAAGGGGAAAAGACATATATAACCCTTTGGTCGTTCTTTATTATTACATTAGACGAGGACCATATGGGACACATGTATGACATGGGCTTCTGCTTCATCGAGCATGCGTATATATATATATATATATATATATAGATTAAGCATAGTTGGATTTCAATTGAATGGGAGCTCGTGGTTTGTCGCTGCAATAATCACAGTAGCAAGTAGGTCTATCGTATTCACCCGGCTTGCATTGTCCGCCTAAAGCTTTCTTGTCTTGACGGCATCTGAAGTAACAAAGGCTCGGATAAATCAGAGCAAGGCACAACGTCAGCGGCTGATCTTCATACTCTTTCAAGCATTCCTCGTCGTCATGGGCTGCTATCTTCGGCACTTCTGCATGCATTGTTTTCACAAATTTAGCATTGGAACTTTACTACGATCTTGCATGGTTCCATGCATGCATGCGAAACTGTTTTTTTTTTTTTGTTATTTACGTACTTACCGATCACCGCGAGGAAGAGAAGAAAGCACACGAGGAAGATGGAAGCAGGCTTGATTGCGTTGGCCATTTCTCTCTCTATATCTCTCTCTTTCTTCACTTTCGGCTTGTGAACTGAACATAGTATTTAACTATTTATACTAAAAATCCCCCCTCCCCCACAAAAAAAAAAACTCTAAGTTTTTTTTTATAAAAAAAAAACTCTAAGTTTAACTGTCACATTCATTTTTTTTAGGGAGATTCACATATTAAATATTGAACTTTAACCAAATTTCCAAATTAAATACTTAACTATCCCACTTCCAAATTAAATACTCAACTATATTGAAATTCACAAATAAAAACTAAACTTTTCAAATTTTAACATATACCTAAAGGATAATCTAAAACAAAACCCTTAACTTTTTTTTCATCACAATTTAAACCCTATACTTTTTTTATCCAAAAAAATCCTATACTTTTCAAAATTTTAAAAATTATACACATTCATATACATATATTAATTATTATAAACACAAAATCAATTACACATTTATTTTCCACAAAATTAATTGTACATTTATTTTATATATTTATATGTATATATATGTTTTATATATATGTAAGATATATGTATTTTTTCCTAAAAATTATTATATATTATTCGTATATTGTTTTATATAAGAACATGTTTTTTTGGACAATTTAACTCATATAAAAATAATAAATAATTTCTTATATATATAAAAAATTTAGGAAAAAATACATATACCATACATATATCAATTAATTTTGTGGAAAATAAATGTGTAATTGATTTTGTGCTTATAATAATTAATATATGTATATGAATGTGTATAATTTTTAAAATTTTGAAAAGTATAGGGTTTTTTGGATAAAAAAAAGTATAGGGTTTAAATTGTGATGAAAAAAAAGTAAAGGGTTTTGTTTTGGATTATCCTTTAGGTATATGTTAAAATTTGAAAAGTTTAGTTTTTATTTGTGAATTTCAATATAGTTGAGTATTTAATTTGGAAGTGGGATAGTTAAGTATTTAATTTGGAAATTTGGTTAAAGTTCAATATTTAATATGTGAATCTCCCTTTTTTTATTTTCGCAACCGATTATTAATTTTTTTACAAAAAAAAATATAATATAAATGATCGTAGAACGAGCCCACGTTGGGGATCACTTTGGATCACTTTGATGCGATTTAGATTCGATTTCCTTTGAATTTCGAGACCTTTCCCGACTCACCTAACGCAAAATAATTAACAAATATTGCCGATTTTTCTAGCAGTGGATGCAGATATTCATTGATATCACTACTGTATTTTGCAAATATAAAAAGAATAGAGAGATTGGATTGATTTTTGTGGAAATTTTCTCTATATTTTTACTCCCTCAAATTCAAATTACATGAACATATATATACTTTTCTCTCTAATAACACTTAATTCTTCTAATATACTCTAATACAGCACAATATTAAATAGTCAAATGGATTCAATGTGGAATTATTATTTTATACATAGATTTGTCCGAATTCAATGTAAAATGACAACCCTAAGAACAAAATGAAATGGTGAAAGTTTATAGGGACTCGTACATTTATCTACGATATGTGACACGCCCGAACGTTGAATTACATACACGTGTGTGTGCGTATTCCCTAATTCTCGCCCATTTTGTGCTTGTGATCACTCTATCCCACGTGGAAAAATGCATTCTTTTCAAGATTTGGGGAAATGGGTTTTCGGGAGAAACCAAGATTCAGGAAAGAGTAAAGAGAAATGGGTGATGAATTGAAAGCAGAGACAGTGGAGAGAGAGAGAGAGAGAGAGAGAGAGAGAGAGAGAGAGAGAGAGAGAGTGAGTGTGAGGAG